ATAAGTCAAACACTCGTCAAAAATATGATTATTACATATAGAGATGGCCAAATCTATGTTTCATATAGGGTTACCTTAGTTGGTCTTGCTTACCATACTATAGCTTTCATCAAAAGAATCTTAATGCATGAAAATTGACATTTTTTCCTATTTCAGGGCTTTGAGTCGACTCAGAGCTTGCTCTGGTCGACTCATACAGCTAGTCAATTCAATGTATTACTCTCAGGAGGGCTCGCGTCGACCCTCCGATTGACTCATACTGTGACCATTTGTATTTGTTTAAATTTGCATGTTGTGCGTTAACGCATGTCATGCTCTAGTCGATGCATGGTCCTGATTTTTTAATAATCATGTATACGGATAAGCTCAGGTTGATCTCCTTACTGCATAGGTCAACCGCTCGCTGTGTAGAGTCAAAATTCTGTTATGTCAAATTGATTTTTGGAGTATGTTATGTTTGTTAAGTCATTTATGTTTTGTATATAAGTTGAGTTGTGCTATTCCTTACACATTAACTAAGAAAACATGAAAAGTGAAATTTACGTGACGATTCATTCTCGTCATCTTCATTCTCTTCATAGCATTTCACAACAACTACACATAATCATTTTTGTTGTGCATTGTGCATGTTCGAGGTGATAACGTCCAAAGCCGAAGATTGGTTTAATCTGGTTTAGATTGAGTAATCGGCAGGTTTTTCTTGAATAAAACCGTTTGGGTTTTATCCTTCAAGAATCTCACATTGTGGGGGGTTTTGCATGAATCAGTCCATTACAGATTCAGCCGAGCGAAGGTAATCGAAGAGCGGAAGGTTCTGTCGGTTTAGTAGTGGTAAATGGAAGATTGTGAGTGGAAGATTCAGGTTTTACACGTGGCTGACTGAAATCAGCCAGGCCAGATTTGAAGACTGAGGGTTTTTCAAAAAGAGTGCCTTAATCAGAGGTTTACTCACCGTGTTCGAAGGACTTGATTTAACTTGAATCAAGGAGAAAGAAGAAATAGGCTCTACAACAACAAACTGCGTTCGATTGTTTGATCTCTATTTGCTTCTTGTATAAACATTGACCAACAAGTTATATCTATATATATACAGGTCTCAATTCTATTGTTAGAATTGAGGGCAGACGTACCCCGGGCGAGGTCGACGGGGAAACTGCCTCAACAAATTGTTGTGTATTTTTCTTTACGTTTATATTGCTAAATTTCCGAGTTTTTAGTGCAAATGATTGTGTCACTCAAATTCTAATTTGAGTTGTGCTGAACTATTTTTAAGCTAATTATAATCATTAATTTTAATAGAAATCTTGAGCACTCAAGTCTCAAAATAGAATTCACTTGTAGTGCCTTGCACTCCAAGTGTTTGATAAATTGTGTGAACTAAAAACATTTTGTGCTGTCTTTCAAATTGTCTATGTTTTAAAGGCATTGGAACTAGTCACACCTTATAGTGAACAAAATTTTATTGAAGTGTGATTAAAATACTGATTCTCAAATCTCGTTTATCAAAATTCATAGGCTTTACACATATTCGGTTTTCTAGTAACCGTTCGTTTTAGAGGTTTATAGTTCCTCGGCCGCTTCCGCCTTAAACATTTTTAAAAACCAATTTTTTGGTAGCGTCGACCCTGTTTTAAACAAGCGATCTATTCAACCCCTCTTCTAGATCTACTCCATCATCTAACAACTCGGTTCTTCCTAGTTTTAGGCATAATGTAACTTTTAGGCTCACTTGTCCATTGATCCACCTTTGTAAATTTGTCTCCAAGTAACATAATGTGACAACAATTTTACTTCATTCGAATTCTGGTACCAAGACTTATGCTAATTTGAAATGTAATAACTTTGTAACCTTTATATTGTAATTCTGCGCAGTTTCTTATAATCATCTTTGCACTTTAAACATTTGATAAGTGTCAAATCAATGGATGGAATTCTGCTTTGTACTGATTGTTTGAATTGAAACTTTGAATTATTGAATATTGAATTAAGATAGTGTTGTCGTCACCATCATGTACAATCATGACCTCTATTCAAGTCTCACACACAGTTTGTGATATAGCTTGCCAAAAGACATGGCTTGAAAAATCTAAGTAAGGCTTGGAGCACTTCTAGCATAACACGAAATAACAAGAATTGCCTTTATATCCTAATTAATCTGATCACAAGATATAATCAACCTGAGGCAATGTTTGGAACCTATAACTTGATGAGAAATTGGCCATGGCTTAAAATGAATTACTCATATAGCTTGAATTATGGCTTGAGAGCATATGATCATATGAGTTAAAGTCCATGTCGTGGAATAGTTTGAAGTAAATTCAACCATATGGCTTAAATTTAGAGATCAATCTTTGGCATCCTTTGTACTTTGTGAGAACCTTTGTAGTTTGAACTTTGTACCCAAATGTCTATGAGCATCAAGCTTGTAAAACCATGGCCTTGATTGAACATGTTCTGGGAGAAAACTAGAGGATTTAATCATGACCATTTGTAACATGCTTTAAAAAATACATTGGTCACGACCTTGAGAGTGGTTCACTCAAGCGTGAAACCATTTAATCATTGCTCGAAACATTATGGCTTAAAACATTTTGGAACCACGAGTAGCCCTTGAAAATTTGACTTGCATATGACCTAAAGTCACCCATCAACCTTGGAACCAATTCAAACTCGGATTAGACAGAATTTAACATATCTTGGGCTTAATCTTGAAATATGGCCCAACACCAGCTAGATATTAATTGGTCATGTCTTGCCCAATTTAACCTTGGGAATGAGGGCACATTCTTTCTTACCTCCATAAGAATTCAACATAACTTGCCAAGGATCATAACCACAATGAGCACACACAAAACCTCTATGACCTAAATCCTAAAGGATCATGTCCAAAGGCCAGATGATCATTTTGAGAAAGATCATGAAACAACACAAGTGTTTGGTATAAGAGAAAGAGAAAGTAGGACAAATTTGGGATATGACACCCCTAAGATTCCATCTTTCATATCATTTGCATCTCATCAAGATCACAAACATGGTATCATCCTAACCTTTACTTCTTTGGTTTTTCCTTTAGGATATATCACCAAGCACCCTTTATGTTCCTTTTTGCCTCTACTGCTTGCTTGTATGCTAACATTGCTAACCCTATCCAAAATACAAAAATATGTGTTATGCCACCTATCATATCATTTGCATTTCATCAAGATCACAAACATGGTATCCTCCTAACCTTTACTTCTTTGGTTTTGCCTTTAGGATATATCATCAAGCACCCTTTGTGTTTCTTTTTGCCTCTATTGATTGCTTATATGCTAACATTGCTAATCCTTTGTGTTTCTTTTTGCCTCTATTGCTTGCTTATATGCTAACTTGCATTCAATGGATCAAGCTTGGTTCCTAAATTAGGGTTTGTATTCTCAAAGTTAAAGTTTGGTCAACAAATGGTTCACAAAAGCTTTCACTTCAAGGCATGGCCTATAATCTTAGGTCATATTCATATCAAGTTTCATTCAACATCATTCGATCAAGAGAAGTTCATGTTTGACGCATGATTTTAAAGTGGATTCAAGTATGATTCATGTGTTTACTTTTGTGCCATCTCCATCCAACTTTCAAGCAATCATCAAATATTATTCAAAGGACAATCAAGATTAATTCATTTGGTTTTAAAGTATTCATCATTGGACCTTTGGATGTAAGAAAATAGTAACAAATCACAAGTTGGCACATAGTTGTTTGGTCAAAGATCAAGTATGGCATGTTTTCATAATTAATGGTTGTCATATTTTAATAGAAATATGAATGCAATCTAATCTAATTGTAGTTTGATGTCCATCTTAACTCGATATCCAATTGTTTTGTTCCCAGTAAATGTTTATGTTAAAATATGGCTTCTCTTTTCAATTAATTTTGCCTACTTTCCTTTAATCCTTTAAAATTACGACCTTGTTTGGTAATTTTTTTTTTTTTAAGTTTATAATTTATAACTTATAAATTCATATAATAAAAAAAACGTGTTAGGTAACAATACTTTCATCACAAATTTATAATTTATTTTTTAAACAGTATTTTAAATAACATTTTATATTATACTTTATAGCTTATCATTTTTCTTCCCCTTTACCTTTGTTATTTTAACTAAAATCCACTATTATCCTTTATATTATTGTTTAATTTAAAATAAAACAATTATATATATATATATATATATATATATATATATATATATATATATATATATATATATATATATATATATATATATATATATATATATATATATATATATATATATATATATATATATATATGAAATATTTTTTATGTTATTTTAATTTATCAGTTAATTGAAGGCTAATTTTATCAAATACTTCAATTAATTTAATTAGTTATAAGTCAACCATCAACTTATAAATTATCAATCATTAGTTATGAATCATAAGTTATAAACTATCAACTAGTTTATCCGTGAATCGCTAGTAAAAAGAGCCTAATTTGATTATTTTGATTTGTCATTTTTAGAAAATTCTTCCATCGACACAATTCATCAAAATTGTAAAGAAAGCAAGAAAGAACAAGAATAAGTCCTAAACGAAGTCTTCAACAATACACACTGATGTATTTGGTATCTTAGAAAGAAAGAAAAAGCCCAATTTGACTTTTAAAATTTTCAAACAAAATCAATAAATCATTTTCAACAAAACACACTTATGCATTTGCTATCCTAGCAAGAAGGCAAAAATATCAATTTGACTTTTAATATTTTCAAACAAAGTTATAATCTCAATCTAGTTAAATATAAAAAGAGAGCATCTTGTAAGTTACACGCAGCATATCTATAACATCAAACCACCTTCGTGGCATAAAATAGCATCTTTGTATCCAACCTATAATTTCTTTGTTATTTCCTTAAAAGTCATAAAAACAAATCATTATATAAGAAAGTTTAATTCCAAATTTTCTCATAAAAGCATAATTGAAGAACTACCATCATCATCATCATGGCATTCCCAACCACCATAATCGGCCCTCAATATTGTGCTCCGTATCAGCTTGATCTCGCCGTCGTGAAAAAGGTTATGACAATCTCAGACGGAAACTTTGCCGTTACTGATGTCAACGGCAACATCGTCTTCAAAGTTAAAGGCTCTCTCTTAACCCTCCGTGCCCACCGCGTCTTGCTTGATGCCGCCGGCAACCCCATCACTACCCTACGTCGCAAGGTTTGCTTTATTCTCTTTTTTTTCCTCATTTCTTTTTTATTTGAATCGCACTCTTACATCTAACGTCTCACAGCTACCAACTGATCTGATTTAATTGTGCAGATACTGACTATGCACGATGGATGGGAAGCGTATAGAGGTGAAAGCACGAACGCTAAAAATCTTATATTTACGTTGAAGAGATCATCTCTAATCCAGTTTAAGACAAAACTAGATGTGTTTTTAGCTAGTAACACAAAAAAACATGTTTGTGATTTTAGAATCAAAGGTAGTTGGTTGAAACGATCTTGCAAAGTTTATGCTGGTGAATCTAACAACATTGTTGCTAAGGTAATTAGTTTTAATTTTAACTAACTATTTTCATTATGTTTAATTTTCACTTAAATATATAGTAATTAAGTACTAATCATAAATCAATTTTTGTTATTGCAGATGCACAAAAAACACACTGTTAAAAGTATTTTGATTGGTAAAGACCATTTCATGGTCACAGTTTATCCTAATGTTGATTACGCTTTCATAGTGTCGTTAATCGTGATTCTTAACGAGATTAACGCTGATGAAGAAAATGGTTGATTAGAAGATTAGTGTTTTATATATTCATCAAATAGTATTGTAATTTAAAATTGCTGTAAAATATAACCAATAAAAATTGATGTAAGTTAAAGGTATTATTAAATTAAGGTATATTTAGGTTAATATAAGGGGTTTGTATATTACAGATAAAAGCTATTTTGTTTTTGTTCGGACAATATCAATTACGTTAAAATGAGCAATGTGTGTGAAGCGTGTGTATGGTTGTTATCATCTCTGTGACGCCTGTATGCACCCTCCATGATCCACCAATTGCGTCACTCGCGTCTTCGTCTCAATCCCTTTGTTTTATAATATAGGTGAAATAATGTGAGTTATCTTTTTATGAGTTAAAATTTACGACAATTTGTTGCACTGACTTGAATTATATTATTTTTTTAATACATCATCTTAATTTAAGTTCTTCAAGTCGTCAATACACATGTGATCCTTCAACCTTTTGAACACTTCAATTGTTATTTCTTTGGTTAACAAACTGGTCATTTGATCTTCACTTTTGCAATATCCCAACTTCAATTTTCCTCTTCTCATAAACTCTCTCATGTAGGAAAATATTATCTCTATATGCTTGCTTCACCCATGTGCAATGGGATTCTTAGCAAGGAAACATTGTTTATCATCAAAGTCATAGCTTCATACACTTCGCCGCACAACTCCTTCATCGAATTCATTAATCATTTTGCTTAATTCCTAGACATAAAAAGTGCAATGTACTCGGCGTCGCAAGAAGAGAGCGCCACAGTTGGTTCCTTCTTAGAGCACCAAGAGATTCATGTTTCTCTGTACATAAAAATGTGTTCAACAATGGATTTTTATCATCTTAATCTCCACCCCAGTTTGAGACGGTATAACCGAGCATTTTGCAGGTTCTACCTTTATCTGTTGTGTGAAGACAAGCTTCCAACGTTATATTATGTTTTATGAAGACAAAGTATCAAGATAAAATGCATTATCAAAGAAGGGAAAATATCTAAGTTCAAAGGAATCTATGGTGACAAGACATGGAAATCAAGCAATCTTCAAAATGATATTCAAATTTATTGGATTGATCTCAAAACTAAAGTACAAGTTACATTTGAGCTTTGTATTATCATAGTACTCAGAAAAAAGTTGCATCTTTCATGTCTAAACATACAAACATGTTTCAAAATTAATTCAATTGATATCATGTGGTTACAAACTGATTTTTAAAATTTCAAACAAGTTGTAACCGGTTACACTAATGTGTTAACCGGTTATATGAATGAAAATTTCGATGTTTTTAAAAATCATAGCAGTTGTAATCGATTAACCAAATCATGTAACCAGTTATAACTACAAAAATTTTGAAAATTACTTTTTCAGCTTCATTTTTATCCGATTACGATAATTTGATAATCGATTACCATTGATGTTGTGAAATTTTTTCAAATTCAATCTGATTCCAACGATTCCCAAACTTTCATCTATCAATCATAACAATGATTCATGATATTATACTCTTTCGAAAAGGTATAATTCAAGTATAAATCACTATGGGTTCATATTTTTTAAATTTTATCTCTTCCTAACAATTCAAATACATAACTCTCTCAATTTTTATCTAAGTGTCTTGAGCCAAAAAAATTATGAAAATTTCTGCATAAATTTTTACAACATCATTAACGTTTCATTCTCAAAGTACCGAGCACTTTAGTAATATACATTGTAAATTGTTTACTTGAAATGGAAGATCAATTTTCATAATTGATACAAGTTTAAATCTTCTTCATTATATATTAAAAATTCTGGTTTGGTCACTAAGTTTTAGTGATCATTGTACTTAAGTGAAAGTAGTGTGCTTTCTCTTATTTGGAATAAAATTAAAAGGTCATGTGCTTTTTTGATTGCGTTAGATAGTTAAGAGAGTCAAATTGTTTTACTGTAACGTATTTGATATAGTGAAATCTCTCATGGGGTGTGAGGGGGTTGTAGTACTCTTGTTTGGACAAAGGAACCAGGATATATCTTTGTGTTTTTTACTTTTTGCACTTATTTTTCAGCATTTTACTTTTACACCAGCTCTGAAGAATTAAGAACATAATTGCAAACGATACCAATTGAGAAATTTTCAATAGTCCCAATTAATCTAGTTCATCTCTCTCTTAGATACATTTCATACTTACATTTGGTATCAGAACAAATTACAAATAACTTGTTCCTAAAGATCTAGAAATGACTTCTGTAAATCCGGTTTTTAGAGACTGTGGTAGAAACAACAAGCCTCAATTGTTCTGTGGTGAATACTTTAATTTTCGCAAAATACATATGAAGGCACATCTCGAAGCACAAGGAGAAGAAGCACAAGGAGAAGAAGTCTGGGATTCTATAGAAAATAGTCCATTTGTTCCCACAATAGATGTAAATGGCGTTGGTACATCTAAAATCAAAAGTTCATGGGATGAAGATGAAAAGAAAAAGGTCATCTACAACATGAAAGCAATCAAATTACTTCAAGCGGCACTAAGCATGGATGAATTTTTTTGTGTTTCTCAATGCACAATGGAGAAATATATTTGGGATACGTTAGTGGTCACTCATGAAGAAACCTCTGAAGTAAAAAGATCAAGGTTGAACACTTTATGTTAAGAGTATGAATTGTTCAAAATGCTACCCGGAGAATCAGTCCCTGACATGTAGAAAATATTTGTGCACTTGACAAATCACTTAATCTCTATTAGTAAGACTTTTTCTAACGATGAACTTATTCTTAAAGTACTTAGATCTTTGATCAGGGAATGACAATTGAAAGTGATGACAATATATCCAAAAAGAATAGTCTATCAAATATGTCATCCATAACATTATTTGGAAAACTTCAAGAGCGAGAGATTAAACTTGGAAGACTAGAAATTTGATTCAAGAGAAGAATTGGTAGAAGATTTTCAGGATAAAGATGAGAACTTCATTCTTCTAATATAAAGGCTGCGAAATTTTTTCAATAATGATAAATCCTTAATTTTTCCAAAAAGAACGAAAGTTTTTAGGAAGAAATAAACTTCTACGTCAACACAAAATTACACTTTCTTTGAATGTAGGAAGTAACGACACAAGATGGTAGATTTTCCAAAACTTGCCAGTAGAAGTGGTCATAAAGTAAGAAAGGAATAAAAATCTTAAAAGGTCTATATTGCATGGGATGATTGTCGTACCTCGAAAAAAGCACGATCCTTCGTGAATAGTCGTGAAAAATAGAGTTGCCACCGAGTTTTATTCATTCCAAGATAGAATAGGAAAATATCGAGAAAACCTTTAGGGAAGGAACATGGTCAACGCAACCAAGTTCTAGGTTCGGGAGTCGGTTATGCGAGGGGAAGGTATTAGCACCCCTCACGTCTGTTGTACTCAACGGGAACCTCTTGATTCGATTCGTGAGAAATGTTAGCTTAGTTTGTTTGTTTTCTTCTAAGGGAATAAAGTGAAAAATGGTAATAGAAAAGAGGATTATATTGCTAAGGAGAAATATGTTCTTTTAGATTAGAGTGCTCGCCAAGGATTAGGGCCCCCGTGCCTACATATTTTCACTCAGAAGAAGTGAAGAATCAGATCGTTTGTAGTTTGTGGGACTACGGTGAAAAAGAAAGAAGGTTTCTCGCTAGGATCTCTCAATCCTATGCCTATGTATTCTCATTGAGAAATGAGAAATCAGAGCGTCCGTAGTTCGGACTACGGATATTGGTTTGATCTTAACGAAAGATACTTAGTCGTATTTGACAGAAAATATTGCTTTATCTAAACGGGTGAGGAGAGGACGCTTGCATCACTTTGAATGGATTTCCATATATCAACATTCATGGGAAACACGCCACTTATCTCTACTCAAATAGATTACAGATGAAACAATATTTTGCGTCGTTCTCAAGACACCATACCTCACCTTTATGAAAAGATTTGACGAATCGCACGACAGCGAGAAGTTGAATTAATGTGCTGACGTATTTTGATTGAATTACGATTACTTGAAGCTTAAGAAAGGCTCCTCGGGCCCAAGTAACCGGGAGATTGAATCAAAGGCTTGACTCTCTCTCTTCATCTCGAAATGAGGTTATGTATATATAGATTGAATGTTGTCGAGTTGGAAGTATTTTAGAGGCGTCAACTGCTCATACACGAGTAAGATAACTCGCATCCAATCAACTAAAGAGAGATTAAAGGCTCAATCTCTCTCTTTTCACCTTGAAAAGAGTTTTTGATAATTGTTAATTGTCTTGATAGTTTTATTGCGAAGATCTGCTCGATGTTTGGGCCTGATTGCATTTTGATTGCATTTTGTTAATTGCATTTTGTTATAGCTAGAGTAAGTTACTAATGACGATTAATCGAAGCTTAAGAAAGGCTCCTCGGGCCTAAGTAATCGGGAGAGTGGGTCAAAGACTTGACTCTCTCTCTTTTCATCTGATTGAGAAACTAATTTGATGTGAATCGGGTTATAAATTTTAGAGGAGACAATTGTTCGAGCGTAAGAAAGGCTCCTCAGGCCCAAACAATTGGGAAAGTGAATCGAAGATCCGATTCTCTCTCTTTTTCATCCTTTATTGAAATATGGTTTAAGTATAATTAAGTTAATTAAGTTGACTCTGATAAAATACTCGATGTTGATCAAGGTTTGAATTCACGTATGGAAAAGTTAATGGTTTGAACTCTAGGGTTTCAACTCGAAAATTCATACAAGACAACATAGAAGTAAAGATAAGCAATTGAATTGAATTGTAATCGTGTGCACTAGCAAAGTGAGCTAGTCTTCAAAACGACCAACTGAAGCTTTACAGACACAACCCAGAAGCTTCCCATACTCTTTCTTGAAATCTTCCATCACACTGTGATCAGCAGCAGAAATCAAACTGAGTAAAGACCCTATATCTGGTGTTGGAAACTCGTACACAACTGTCTTCTTCAAACAAACCTCCATGTCAGCAGTGGATTGGTTTTCTAGAATCAAGAGAAGAATATGCACCTGAAACATA